AGCATTATTCTAATGGTGAAATAATGTTCGTCGGCATTTAATAAACACACAAGTCAAAAATATCCACCGTCATACAACTCCAGCAACCGTGACTTCGTCAAACACTGTAAAGGCACAATGATATCCACCCTGGTGAGGAAATAGGAACAGTGTATGAACATCCATGTGGAGCGGTTAAAGCCCGAACACCCGGTTATTAAATAACGGCGCACCGTGAGAACGACGGTTGAACAAAATGCTGACGCGGCACGTAGTGCAAAAAAAAAACATACATTTGAATCCAGACACACACATTTTAGTGCAGTGAAGTACGGAGTGTCACAACGGCGGTACAGTGGTTACACGTTATATTCCTGAGGATCAGAGCCAAAGGGGGTTTTGGCTCTGCCGAGTCTGGCGAGGTCCAATGGGGTAATGTGATACTTTAACTGGTGCTGTCCATGGTGGCCAGCAGATGGGCGATCTTGGCCCTCTGGGACGGAGTGATGTTCTGGCTCATGTGGATGATGCAGTCCATGGCTACCTCCGGATTGGCTTGCACCAGGCTGAGACACGCACACGCACACGCACACACACACACACACACACACACACACACACACACACACACACTGTTACAGCGACAGGTTTGTTCTGAATCATGGAAAGCAATACACTTTATTTCTCCAACGAGTCAGCCACAATCCTCATTGATGCATCATTGTCTATTCTTAATTCAGAATCTAAGTTACCGCATACTGTGCTTGTAACGTGTGTGTGTGTGTGTGTGTATGTGTGTGTGCGCGGTTCACCTCCGGATGTGCTTCAGTGTGTAGTCTCTTTTCAGGTACTTGATGTTTTCGTGGATGGCCGACGGGGCGCCGTCCTCCCTGGATATGTGCTTCTCCAGCCACTCCACCACCGCCTGGTTGTTGTCCCAGAGGTAGGCCTGGAGGAGCACAGGGTTACACCCACACTGACTCATTACTAGACCAGGACACACAACTCAACCAGCTGCTCACAAGCGTAAACGGCAGCAGAAGTGACTTTTTTTTTCGCTTTGTCAGGTTTCTGGTCACCGACCGATGGGCAGCATGTGTATTATTTTTATCGGTATTAGTTGATGGTGCTGAATCTAGTCCGCACCACCAAGAGTGGCCACTAGGTGATGTTTAAGGGAGGGCAGCAAAAACTAGTAGATTAATTGATTAATTGATCGTCAGAAAGTTAATCAAATCAAATTTGTATAATCGATAAATCATGTAGGTAATTTATTAAGTACAAATACCAAACATTTGCTGCTTGATGCTTCAGAAATTAAAATGTTTGGTTCATGGATCATTACACAATGAATACTTCTGTTTTATAGTTTTATAGTTTTTCTTGGCTGCTTGTCAGATAAAGACAAGCACATTTAAGACATCACTTTGGACTCTGGTAACTTTGCTAGGTAGAGGGGGGAGGAGGGGGGGAGGCAGAGAAGGGAGGTGAACTTTAGACGGACAGCACTTCTGCCCACGTATGTCCCGCCCCCTACCTTGACGGTTCCCTCCGTTTCCACAAACCAGCGACGCAGCATGGACTGCATGTGTCCGTCGCTGAGGTCCTGGATGGCCTGCAGGACGCTGTGCTTCACCACCTGCTCCAGCAGGAGGCGCCGCAAGCGCCAGTAGAAGAAGCTCCGCACGTTCTTCCACTCCAAGATGTCCTGTCGAAATAACGCAAGAGTGGCGTGAAATACACACGCACATACGTAACGCAAAATTGTATACCCATTTGTCAAAATAAAAAAAAAGAAATAACATTTGCATTGAGATGTACATATGGTGACGTAAAGGACATCATGTCCAACTGACACACTCACAGTGATAACCCCCTTCTCCTGCATGCGGCCGGGCGTGTCGTGGAGATCCACAAACTGCACCGCCACCTGGTGGTAGATGGGCAACAGGAACTCCTCTCTGGCCCTCAGCTTGGTCTCCAGATTCTTACGCTCCTTGTCGGACAGATCTGGGGCACCTGGCCAGGAAGAAGCACTCTAGACCAGCGGTTCTCAAATGGGGGTCCGCGTACCCCGTGGGGGGTACTTGGAAAATGTACAAGTTCTGTAAATCTTTCCAATGAATGACAAAAATCCTAAGCCAAGCCCATGTTTTGCACTAAATCCTAAATAGTTGCACCCCCACCCATTTAATGTCCATTAAATGTGTGCTCAATATGCCCAAACATTATTTATATTCATCTACATTTTTGTTCCCCTCCGCTGGTGAAACGGTGTGAATCCTCACCTAGTTGTTGGGCCAGGTTGGCGTACGTGGTGTCCAGCCTCCTCATGGTCTTCAACAGGTCTTTCCTCCTGAACTTGATCTCCACCGTTCCCTCGGGCTCCAGCACCCCACCTCTAAACACACACACGCCGGGACAATAACAAAATTATGGTTCAGGTTTGCCAGTAATTGCAGGCTTTCGGCCTGGGAAATGCAAATTAAAGGATAAAAAGGTTTCATATAAAGTGGGACATTCACACTGTACACAATGAATGATGAGGCCGACAGTCAGCTTTAGTAAGCTGTAGGTTTTAGACATAGGTAGACATTCATACAGGTAGCAATGGCTAATAACATAGCTGACTTTACCTAAACTAAACTAAAAAAACTAAACCAAACCGGAGGACCAGCTACCTGCTCTCCTTGTCTGCGTAGAGCTCCATGCACAGAGGGTTGATGGTGGGGTCGATCACCACCCAGGACCCCCCCCTCAGCTCGGCGTGCGGCGGGATGTACACCAGCACCGGCTGGTGGAACCCACGCAGCGCGTCCACGATGTAGGCCCCGAACTTCAGGATCTGGTCATACATGTCTGGGGAGGAGAGGAGAGGTCCTTTAGTAAGGTCAGTACAGAGAGAGAGAGAGTGGAGCATGTGATGCTAATCCGTTGGCAGCGAGAATGAGGAGACGATGGAGGGGTTGAAGATGTAATGTAGCTACTGGTGATGCTAATGAGTGTATGATGGAGGTGTATATGGGTTAATCCCCAACTTTAATTCCAGGGTCCAAAATGAACACCTGCCAGCATTAAAAAAAAATGTGTGTGTAAATAAAATGATACTGAGCGAGTAGTATTGGAGTAGCGTTCAGGCTGTACCCTTCATGCCCCCTGAGAAGCCCCTCCAGTTGGCGAACAGCATGAGGGGAAGACGCTCGCGGTTGAAGTCACAGATGGCCTGGGCTGTTTTGAATGCAGAGTCAGGGAACCAAACCTGGCCGGCCTGCTGCAGGAACTGGAAGATAAAATAATAATAGTATTAATCAATAATCAATCGAGTGCACGGACATGCACAAAACACAAAATATAACATCAAATACGAGACATACATGGGATTTTACAGATTTTAAAGATACAATATCAGAAGATATATATATATATATATATATATATATATATATATATATATATATATATATATATATATATATATATACCGGCATCACGCCGGGTAAAAAAAAAGGTAATAAAAGACAACAAAAAAACACAATTATAAATTGTGTTAAAATAATATTCAAATCAAATCAAAATAATACAATTAAAAAATCTAACAAATAACAACAACAATAGCAAATAAGAGATTAGAATACATTTATAAAAGACAGACACATACAAAAGACATACATAAACACAGACAGAAATGACAGATACATGAACCCTGAAGACCGAGGACCCAGTCCAGTCAAGACCACTAGGATCGGCGGAGGTACCTACTTTAGCATCCGAGTCCAAGTTGGCCGGATCTGCCGGGATGGTCAGCTCTACTGCGCGCGTTTCCACAGCGATAACCCCAAGGGGGATGCCTCCTAACCTGTATCATTTAAACATGAACCAATCAACAGATCCAAATGTCTTCATAGTCCAAGCATGTGTGTGAATACGTGTGAGTGCTTCATACCGAGCTCTGCCCACCACCACCGTCTGGGCCCACGACGCCATGATCTCCATGAAGGAGCCGTGGTCGAAGAACCCGCTCTGCCACGCCCCTTTCACAGCTACACACAACAACATTGGTCCGATTTAGAGAACGCAAATCCAGGACAAATTACGTCAATGCTCCAACTTTTCCAGAATTTTCAGAAAGTACAGCTAGTAGACTGGAGCTTTTAAGACAAATCCTGCAAGCCACTCCTTTGTCTTGAGAGCCCACTAAATGACTACATAGTTAATGAGAAGACGCCAGACTCACTAGGGTGGGGTCTGCCGGCCAGCATCCATCGGGGGTCGTAAGGAGCCTTGGTCGGGGGTGAAATCGATCTCTCTGTCGACGGGATCCGTAGGACTGATGATGGGCACAGGAGACACGTTGTTCTGGAACGAGAGGGAAGCACGACTTCAGCCGGAAACGTCATGTGACTTACAATAACCAATAAGATCTGTACTTTGTGTGCCTTTTTACTGATGTTTTTCACTCTTGTATTGTATTGCATTATTGTGCATTACAGTATTTAAGTGTCTTGGATTGTCTCGATAAGCATGTTAGCAGCATACGCTACATTATTTAAACTATACATTATTGATCGTGATACACAAGTGTCTAAAGTGTCCCGTGTGAATATGAAAGAGCACCTTTGGCATGTAGGACAGCCACTGGAGGATATTGAAGACGCCCTCAAAGTCGTCCGGCACAGTGGTGTGCGTGACCCCGTTGTTGTGCATGATCTGGACCCCCCCCAGCTGGTTGTTAGAGGTGTACACCTCCCGGCCCAGCACCTACACACACACACACGCACACGCACAAGCGCACACACAACAGGACCTCAGTCATCAGGCTGTACAGTGCATTCTTTTTTTGGACCTTTTTAATTAATGTAATTAATTAAAAAGGCTGCGGGTAAACTGCGGGTTCCCTACAAGCACGGCTATTTAGTCACTTGGCAGATGCTTTTATCCAGAGCGAGTTACAGTGAATTCAGATATGTTATTGTTATTAAGGGGTTAGGGCATCTTGGTCTCTAGGACATCTACAGGTAGACTGTGGACACCGGGATTCGAACCCACAACCTTTCAGCTGGGAGCCGAACCCCCTGACCCCTACACTATCCAGAATACAAACACGTACGAACACTGGACAACTACAGCCAGGGATATTATCATAGTTCACACGCTATAGGTTGAAAAGCCAATGAGGTCATGTTAACGATGGATATCCAAGTCGGATGAACAGACCTTGTTGAGGGCTCCCGCTCCTGTCAGGATGATGTGGGAGTTCTCCACCTGGATGACCCTCTGACCCAGACGCACCAGGTACGCTCCGATGCCTATAGCGCGACACGTCACCTGCAGAGGCAAAGTCCATTTATTTATAAATAATAACCAGCCAATGGCGGCTAGATTTGACCATTTGACAAGTACAAAAATCTAGGGTAACATATTAAAACGAATGCTTGGCCGGTATAGTTTTCCACTCAGGTATAAAGACTCAATTCTAAAAAGTGAATTTTGGACCCTGTACACAACATGTCTACAGCCATATTTCAGATGCCGGGACAGACAGCCAGCCTATCAACGACCAAACAGAGACCAACGGGTGTTGACCGGCTCCTACCATGCTGATGGTAATGATCTCATTGTAGGCCTGCGAGGTCTCGCCAGGCGATCATCCCAGAGCCTCGCAGGTTCTCCACACCGAGGCCGTCGTCCTTACCGATGATGTCGGTGATGATGTACCTGCAGGAGAGGCGTTTGAATGAAACTGGAATCCAAAATGTGGACATAAATACATTTGGAGTCGGTTTTACCTTAGTTCATTATATCAGATGTGTTGCTTGCGTGCGTGTGTGCGTGCGTGTGTGCGTGCGTGTGTGCATGCGTGTGTATATATATGTGTGTGTGTTCACTTCCTGAAGGTGACCCCTGTACGGTACCTGGACTCCCCTCCCTCCTCCACGTGGTGACAGTGCACGGCGTTGGTGGCGCTGATGCGGGTGTAGTCGTGCGGCGTCAGATACAGATACTTAAAACCCTGTGGAGGCATTCATGGTAAACTACAATGTTGATTATAATCATATTGTCGTAGGAATGATGACATACAAGTGCATATTAAAAGCAGTGTGAAGTGTCGTCTGGTCTAGAATGCGGTACAAGGTTCACTAAGTGGGTTTAAAAACGTTGAAATGACTCAAATAACTAAAATAACAATGAGGAGTAGTCTGATGGAGATGGGTTCATATTACACAAAAGCATGGTTGCTAAGAGAGGACAAAGATGAAAAAGTAAACTATTTGGCGTCAAACTGGAAACAAAAGAGAGAGGCGATCAAATAACAAACTTCTCTCACCTTGTAGGGGTCGTCGGGGTCGATCCAGGCCACCTGGAACATGTGTCGGATCTCGTCGGCCAGGCCGATGCGGGCGCCGCTGTTGGCCGCGATGTAGATGCGCGGCACGCCCTCGGCGCGCGCCAGCTCCGACGCCCGCAGGAACAGCTCGTCCTCCTGCGGCCCGAAGGAACCGATCAGGTAGGTGATGTCGTTGCAGATCACGATGATTTCACGCCCCGCCGGGTACTCGGGTGTCTTCATCCTCATGCGGAACGCCACCATTCCCACCTGACCGGGAGGACAGTTGGTGACTGTGGTGTCAAATTTGAATAAAGTAAAGTATGGCAATCGCATATTGCAATTAGCTTATTGTGAAAGGTTGCAATTAATGCATTCAAAACTATTGTCATGAAAAAAGATTAAAAATAAACATCTAATTTCGTACGCCTGTTACAATAGAATTACAAGCCGTTACAACTTAGCAATAAGCACTCTAACTTCACGTGTGTTACATCAACACTTCATCAGCCGGCTAACCATATCAGCCCACAACAGGTTATGCAGGTTATGTGATTAACTTATAGAGTTAGGAGTCATCTAATGCAAACCAATGTACAAGGGGTGTAGGGGTCTGGCTGTCCTGTAATGTACATGTTAATATAGAGTCTATATGATGGAGTCTACACTACTATAGTCTGTCTCCTACATCGTTGTCCCCGGGGAGACGGTTCATCTGGACCAGTCCGCCCTGGGAGTCCAACACCAGCTCCGTGCACATGAGCACGTCCTTCGGACATCTGTCCCCGGGGCCCCACTGCTTAAACAATGCCTGGGAGACACACAAAAACACACACAACACAACAAGACCGAGACCTTGAGAAATGCTGAGCCGGTTCAAAACACAGTGGATAACACCAATAACAAATCAGGTGATTTCTGTGTTTCTTCCTTCGGTACCTTCAACATATTGGGACCACGCCTCACAGGTGTATATTGACAGTTTATTTTGTGTTGTCTAAATCGTTTGTTCAACCCAGCACACCGAGTACCTGTCTGAACATCTCGGGGAAGTCGTAGACGTAGGTGGTGCCCAGGGACTGGGCCTGGAAGCGCTTGGCCTGCAGCAGGTCCTTGGTGACGTAGGGCGTGTTGATCAGCATGCCGTGCAGCAGACCCTGCTTGTCCCCATAAGACTGGAACATGATCTGGCAGGGGATATAATAATAATGTTAATAATAATATTAATCTAACTATAAATGGAGGAGTCTCTGTATGTTGGTATGTCTGTAATAATAATAATAATAACAATAATAATAATAATAATAATAACTTTATTTATATAGTGCCTTTTAAAAACTAGTGCTTTACAAAGTGCTTTAACAGACAATGAAAATAATAATGGTATGATTTGATTCAAGGTCATTCCGTGAATATTCAAGCAAAACATAATGCAAATAAGCTTCTATAACAGATCATAAATAACAAAATAAGAAATAAAATGGAAGCAAAACAAGTAAAAAGTGAATTAAATAAAAGAATGAACAAAATAATAAAGGATAACAGCAGGTTCCTATGTTGAAGACACTCCAGACATGTCCAGAGTCTCCCACCTGTCCGGAGGAGGGCTCGGTGACCTCCTTGTAGAGGCTGATGTCCAGGTAGTACCCCGACTCGTTGGTGAGGAAGAGGCGGATGGGGACCTGGTGTCCGGTGGGCGTCAGCCGGATGTTGATCTTCAGCTCGGCCTGCAGGACACGCAGCTTCCACAGCCGGCTGCCGTAGCGCATCACCATGGAGCGCACCGACTCCTCGATCTGGTCGGTCGGAGACGCGGAGAAGAGGAAGAGGCCATGATGAGGGTAGAGAGAAGCCAAAGCGGTACGTATGTAAGGAATAAACCACAACGGGTCAGGGTTAGGGTTAATAACGGGACACCCCAGAGTGGTTCATTCCACTTATACCACAGTTACCGACTATGATTAGATATTTGTTAGCTTCATCTATAATGTTATTGTTTTTTTTATCGACTTCATCAGCTGGAATTAAAATATTTCTTCCACGGCGCTGTGAGCATATTGATTTTGCGTTGTCAAGGAAACATCTGGTGCATAGTTGTATTTGACCGTTGTGTCCCGTTATTAAAAAATAATGCACACCCTTGGAACGTTATTGTCCAATCAGCAACAACAATGCTGTGGTATAATTTTAAAATGACAAACCCTTCAAGTTGAAGGTTAGAGAGATGAGCAATCCCAAATGGATTTCATATTTTACATTTTCAAAAGGACGTTTCCTACATTTACATTTAATCATTTAGCAGACTACCCTTTCATCTACCACGACTTACAAGTGAGGCTGAGAACAACCAAAGCAAAGCATGCAATCAAAATTCGAGCCGCTACGAAAAGTTAGGGGGAATTTGTCCTGCACATGCAGGTCGGAAAGTCAATAAGTGCAATAAAATAATCAAGTGAACATACAGAAACACAAAAACCGCCCTATACCACATACACCTACAGACATTTACATGTGAATACATACAAGACATTCTCATATGCAAATCTTTCTCCCTGTGCACAATTTAATTCAGTTCACAGTAGAGCTAAGGCCAAGTGTCAGTTAAAGAGAGATTATACTGCAGTGACTTTACCTTTGGACGGATTCATGATGACCGTGGGCACGAAGTTGAGGAAGATGTGGTTGCAGTCTGTGCGGTGGACGATGGTGTTGCTGAAGGCCACCTCCAGCTCATCCATGGCCTCCAGCAGGAGGCGCTCTCCCTCGTTCTGCAGGTACTCAAAGGAGGCTTCCTGGTCGGGGGAGAAGAAGAAGAGAGAATATAGGACGTGTACATCGCGATGTCACATCACAATATCCGCCTCCATTTTGGAAGCATAGGAGCATTGTAATGTTAGTTAGTGTTAGTAGTGATTTGTCATTATGGGGAGACATTGTATAGTATAGCCAACAAAAAATCCCATGATGCATTCTGATGTACAAGCCCTATAGTGAGATAGGATTCCCCATTTCACTGTTGAATGACATAATGTTAGGACACTATATACTTTATTTGTCCCAGACGAGAAATTCTGGAATCTATTAATATAGTATGAATTGAAATGTGTATTTTAAGTTATCACCATTCAGTCATTTTAGCAGAACTTTTTTTTTCCAAAAGAAACTGAACTTGGGGTGAGGGCGTCTTGCTCAAGGACACCTACAGGTAGAACCCCGATGCAGACATCGGGGTTTCGAACCCACAACCTTTCAGCGTTCACAGTACACAACACCCCAACCGCTAGAGTCGACTATCCTACTCCAGTTATTAATGTTAACGAAACACGAAACCTTCTGCACTTCCGCCACGAGTCCCTCCTACCTTTGTGACGAGGTCCGAGTGGCGTATGATGGCGCGGATGAAGAAGCGGTAGTCGGTGACCTCGGTGACCTCGGCCCCCTGCGGGGCGCGCGCAGCGCCCAGGTACAGGTGCATCTTGTGGTTGCCGCAGGGCACCGCCGTCAGCTCGAAGTTCCTCATGCGGTTGAGCTCCAGCTGGAAGGCCAGCGCCGGCTCCAGGTTGCGGTAGATGCGGTCCTCGTGGAACTGAGGAGAGGAGCGCAGAGAGTCGAGCGGGTATCCAAAAAAAAAAAACTTTTAGCGAACGAAATGTCATGAAATGCCTGACCCCTTCAACTCGGGCTTTTAGTGTCTTGTAAACCCATGAGGGTTGGGCACTTTGTGTGCATGACAGGCAAAGCACTTTGGAAACCTTAAAGTGCTTTTT